ACTGGTCTTGCAGTTCCTTTTCCATCATTCGACATGTAGTTTTTTTTTTTAATTAGGAAAATCACCACTCGCTGAAACCTCAACAACAATGTAGTGCTACCGAACGGCATTTTTGATGACAAGATGACCTAGGCTTAGTTGTCGGAAAACAGAAACCATGCGCTGGATCGTTCAACTTTATTGTATTTGTAACATTACGGCATCCGACTTATGACAAAAAAGATGGTAAAATTGCGACCAAAACTCCGTGCCAGCCATCACCGATTCTGGGGGGTAGCGGAAACAAAATAGAAATAAAAAACTGCCGCTACTGAAGAAGTAAAGAACTTCGAAGACAAGAACTAACCTCTGGTGTCCACTTTTCAGGTATATTCTCCAAGGAGTCAGGTGAGTCAATGCTAAAGCACATGAGTATCACGTCCGTATCGGGATAGGAAAGTGGACGGAGGCGATCGTAGTCTTCCTGACCTGCGGTATCCCATAACGCTAGCTCTACCTGAAGGGCAAACAATCAAGGGAGAAAAAGCCACATGCTGAAGAACCGTATATGGAAAATGCGAAAATTATTCGATTTAAATCGTTGCGAGATTAATTTAATCTAACCTTACCTGCTTTCCGTCAACTTCTATGTCAGCTACGTAATTCTCGAATACGGTAGGTACGTACACATCTGGGAACTGGTCCTTACTGAAGACGATCAGCAGGCAAGTCTTTCCGCAGGCACCATCGCCCACAATTACCAGCTAAAAAATGATTTTGTAAGGTTCGTTTGCTAGGTAAATCGAGAAAAACTAACCTTTTTTCTGATTGCAGCCATAATTACTATCTAACGAGGGACAACCCGTGCAGAATCCCTGAATGCAAGAAATAAAAAATGAAATTCAATGCACGACAGGACGAGCAGCGTGCAGCCAATACGAATGCTTCGCAAAAAAACGTGGTCCGCTGACCGATGTGCACGACATAATCAGATCAAAAGTGCATCAGACTGATGAATGTAGGCGAAGGGAAGATGAAGGTCGAGGTTCGATGAGAACCCAATACAGAGATGAAGGAAGCCAATTGCGATCCTCTAAGGACTGGCACTGGCAAAATAAAATACCCTTAGTCAAATTGAGTTTATGCGAGAGCGAGCTGTGACGTGTTCGTGAGCGAATGTGCATCTCTGTAATATGAGCTGGTTCAGATGAAGGTTTGTGGAAAAACCACACACAAAACTCTGTTGAAAAGATAATGAAAGAATAATTTCCATAAGAAAAATCAAGCCAATACATCATGCCAAACGTTCGCGATGAAACTCTCCAGACGCGAGAAGTGGCTAAATCGTAAAATTCTAGCAAAACAGCGAGCTACCATGCCAGAAATTTGGGAAGAAAACGTAGCTGTAACCAAACTCAAGTATTCGCAATATAAAAAACGGTTGAGAGATTCAAGAAGGAGAAAAGCTTCAGATAATGTGCGAGTTGATGACACATCGCAATGGTTGGTCGGAGCGGGAGGACGCTGGCCGCTGCATCGCCCACCCAAGCAACAATCGATCAATACGCACTAGAGTCATCACGGAATCGGCGAATCTCTGCAGACGAGTAATCTCAGTGGTTCTGGTAGTGCAGATCTACATAGACAATCCAACTTTGAATATGAAATTGAAAATAAGAGCATTTTTGCTAAGAGCAGGGGCATGAGACAGACTCTACTGAACCTCTTACATTTGTGATGACTTCATACTAGTCCAAACAAGCTTAATCCCTTTCTTTCTCTAAAAA